TCTGTTGTTTGACATTTTCTTTTTATTGCAGAGCATTGACTGGTGTGCTTAATTTGTTTATTTATTGCAGAGCACTGGCTGACGTATTTCGTCTGATTTTTATTATATGTTTATGTGTTAAGGGATTTACATTTTGTTATTTGTTTAAAATTTTATACTTTTGTTGTGCTTGAATTTTACGTATCAATTATGTGTTTACTTTTCACTATTTCATTTACCTATAATTTTATATTCAATTACATTTCCATTCAAATAATATTTTAACCCGTGCCTTATACTAGTACATATATATCACAAAACGGTAATGATATATCCCACTAAAAGTGATACTCTAATGCATCACTAATGAGTTGGCAAGTACTTTAAATAAAAAATAAAAAATAAAAACAAGATACAAGCAGTGGGCCTCGTCCACTGCCACATTACTAGTGGTGCTTTTAGAGCACCACTTTTAGTGGTCTCAAGCATTATTGTATCACAAAAATGAGGAAAACTGCACATGCCGTACACATGCTACCGAAGAGTTGGCTTGAATAATGCAGACACAGGGACAGACTTTTTCGAAGCAAACGCAACTAATTTACAAAATCGTTACGGAATAAAAAAAAAATATTTCGAATCTTTACTTTAAAATTAAGAGTTTTATTAATGAGTATTCTTAAAGTATTTGATAAGAAATTAGGGGTTGTTTGGGGTGTTCTAAATAAGTGTACTTTTTGTCTTTTTTGACTAAAAAGTTGAAGAAAAAAATATTGATGTTTGAGTTAACTTTTTGATTTTTTATGAAAAAATGTATATTAAAAAATTGTATAAATAAGTGTATAGAGAAATAAAGTAATGGTGTAGGCTGTACGGTTGGAAGCAGCGCTGCAGAGAGTGTGTAGGAGATTGATTCTCTACTTTTCGAGCATAAATTGGTCTATTCTATTCGGCCCATGGGGGCCAGCATGGGTCCCTTTTTACTAATCAGAACCGTTCAATGTGTAGTCGAGCATTATATGCTTGTAAAAAATCACGTTAATTGGATATCGATAACTATCTGATCGTGTTAGTTTTTTTTGTTAATTGTTAACTATAACACCATTCATTTTTATACAAAACTGATTTGATCATATATTTAGCGATATCCGATAGACGTGATTTTTTATAGGCATATAGTACTAGACGAGTTTTACATATTGAACGGTTCATATTACCAAAACAAGACCCATGGTAGGCCCCCACTCGCCCAGCTCTACCATCCAATTTAATGAATATTTTACCCCCCTTTTTTTTTTCCCCAGTCACTGACAGGCCCATCACGTCATACCTTGTTAATTGTATTTTTTTTATTTGTATTATTATGTGGATATTTTTTTTAGTGAATAGTATTAATTTTTTGACTTTTTGAGTAACTTTTTGACTTTTATAGTGTATGCCAAACCAAGCCTAATATGTTTGTACATAGTGTATGGGAGTACGTGTATCATGTTATGTATAATTAATTCTAGAAATTCAAAAGTTCTACCAAAATTTCTATTAAATATATCACATGACTCACACTATGTGGATTCTACACTCATGTGAAATATTTGATAGAATTTTTGGATCTGTAACATTTTTGTTAGGAAGACTTATTTATAAGTCATTTTTCAGACACTTATAGTAGGGTAAGTCCTGTATAATTTCTTATAAAGTCTCAAGTCCTATTTAAATAGAAATGTATTCCACAAGACCCTACATAAACGTAACGTGACGTGACACTTACATAAACATAACGTAACGTGACACCTATATAACCGTAACGTAACGTAACACCTACATAAATGTAACGTGACTCCTACATAAATGTAACACAACGTATCATGTTACGTTTCGCAAACTTAATGAGTTTTTATTTTTTTAAATTGAATGTGAAAATGTTGCTGGTTTATATTAGTGTCACGTTACGTTGCATATAAATATGATCTATGGCATCATTCAATTTCCTAGGAAATTGAATGATGCCATAGATCATAGGTGTCATGTTACGTTTATGTAGGTGTCACGTTACGTTACGTTTATGTAAATATGATCTATGGTAACATGCAATTTTCTATATAGAAAATTGCATATTACTATAGATCATATGTGTCATGTTTCGTTTATGTACGTGTCACGTTACATTTATGTAGGTGTCACGTCACGTTACGTTTATATAGATATGATCTATGGTAACATTCAATTTTCTATATATGATTTTACTATTATTTATGATATTAACAACTAATGTTGATGGTAAATGTGTCAACAAACGTCTCACAGGACTTATGAGAACGTAAGTTTTTTAGTAGAGTCTCCCTAATAGGACTTATAAATAATTTTCCCTTTTTGTTAAAGATTATTAACCAATATTCTTAACACACTCCTTAACCAAATTCAAAAAATAAATGTATAATATAGATTTAAACTTAATAAAATGTCATACTCGCAATAATGGTAAACAATTGACTTATTTTTTCTTTTTTTTCTTTGCTTGTAATTTTCAAAATTTGTAGTATTGAATAATCGAAGTAGCTTCACTTCAATCCCGCTTTTGGATTGAAGGGTTAATTTCTCTAGTTTTGGACTGATTTGAATAGTTTAAATTATAAGATTCGCTGCGTAAATTATTCATATAAAAAAAAATTGAGTCAATAGTTATATGATCGATTTATAATTGTATTGAAAGAAAAATATTTGAGATTGTCAGAAACCTATTGCAACTTGATCAGCAATTATGCAATGTAATAAATGTTAATTTTTAATTTGTCATGCACCAAATTGTACAGGCCTTTCTTCTTTGCCCCATTATTGTGGGAGAATATTAGGTGTTTAAAATATGGATCTTTAGTATTTGTCAAAAAAAATAAAAATAAAATAATGAATGGTCTATTTTTTTAAAGGGTATTTATATGGAGATCCTTTAAACTATTGAGAAGTGTCACTTTGATCCCTTATATTATAAAAGTATAAGTTTTACCCATTTCATTACTGTATTGACATTTTTAAGACGAAAATACCCTTCAACACTCTATATAACATATCTAACAACACTTATTCTCAATTTTTCTCATTTTTCTATTTTATTATTTTTAAAAAATATTCTTTAGCAAAAATATATTTTCAAAGAATATTTAAAAAAATAAAAATAAATGAATGCTTATATTGAATTTTTTTTAAAAAAATAATAATAATGAAATTGTAAATATATAGAGTACTGGAGGGTATTTTTGTCTAAAAAATATTTAAAATTTTGGTTTAACTCATGGTGTAGTGACCGAAGGGGGTCGCCAATAGTTTAGAGGATCCATTTGTATTCTTTTATAGTTTAAGGGGTCAAAATGATACTTTGCAATAATTTGGAGGGTCCATTTGTATTTTTTTATAATCTAAGGGTCAAAGTGACACTTCTCAATAATTTAGTGGGTCTTTATGTAAATAACCCCTTTTTAAAGAAAAATTATAAATATATCCCCTGAGATTTGCTTAAAATACAAATTGTCTTTTGTAATTTTGAAAATTACATCTTGTTGCCTTGAAATTTCGAATTTCATAACAAATGACTCATTTTATTAACAAATCATTAAGATAGTTAATAGTTTTTAATAATGTCAAAATTTTATTTTTATTATTAATTTTATTTATTGTATATAATAGTGGTTAGAAATTTCATTTTTTCAATTAATTATGTTAAACAAAAAAAAATTGACAACGAGTTATTTGTAATTTTTTAAATTATAGGGAACAATCCGCATTTTAAGCAAATTTAAGAGGATGTATTTGTAATTTATCATTTTCTAAATTATATTTGGTCATCCATTTTATTAATTAAAAAGGTTAGAAATGTGATCTGATCATTTAATTGCTAAAATCCAATTAACTTAATTTTTTTCATAACTAAAAATTGCAAAAATTGGATTCTTTAATAGGGGGTGAGCATGGTCCGATTTGAATTGGTTTGGGAAGAAATTAGGACCTATCCATTGTTTATGGTTCAATAAAAATTGAAATAAAAACAAACCTTTAAAATCATGAAATCGATCCAAACTTAAATATTTGAAGACGGCTGGATTCGGTTTGAAAACTCGAACCACATAATCTATCATAAATTCAAAAAAATTCAAAAAATTAAGCAAAAATATTTTTTAAAAATTCAAAAATTATATAACATTTCCAAAAAAAAAAAGAAAAAAGAAAAAGTCTATCATAAATTTTAAAAGTAATAATATGCCCATCAGACAAACTATTCTCATAATATTCATCAATTAAGCAAAAATATAACATTAAGTAAATATTGTTCAACATTAAGTTGTTATGATTTTTCTAAACATAAACTTCCAAAACATAAACATATACATTACTTAACTATTAACTTAAACAAACATAGTATCTAACAAATAAACATATATAGTTTAAGTTATACAATTCAATTTAATTCAAATCCAGAGCCATAAATCTAAATCTAGAACTAATCTGCAAAAATCGATTATCTAATTTTTCAAACCATGATCAAACGCCGAATTAAGAGGTTGTTTGGCAAAAACTAAAATATCACACTTTTTTAAAACTTTTTAATCTTTTAAAGCCATGTTTAGAAATATACTATTTTAATAATTTTTTAATTTTTACAAAAAGATATACAGAAAAATAAAAAGAGTAATGTGTGAGAACTTATAATGAGTTTTTGATCTTTTAATTAAAATATATAATTAGCAAACGAGACCTTAAATCATGTCAACTTTCTATTTTTATAAACAATTTTTTATAAAAATAAAAAATATAACTTATTTAACACATTCTAAACAACTCCTATAACTTATTTAACACATTTCTAAACAACTCCTAAAAAATCAAGGGCTTGTTTGGTTTGAATTTCCCAAAAAATTTTGGGAAAATTTCTCTACAAATAAGTTTTCAGAAAAACTCAAACCAAACAAATTTTTCCAAAAAAATTTCTCAAAACTTGTAAACCAAACAAGTTTTCCAAACAAATTTCTTTCTCATACACATCAAATCAATCACTTTTTCCAAAACTCTCTCTCAAAATAATTTTTCAAAACATCTTTCCAAAAAAACCAAACCAAACAACTTTTCGTACTTTTTATCTCCCAAATTCATCTCCGAAAATCAAACCAACCAAGCCCCAAACCATCTATGAAATTCACCTCCACCCGTTGAATTTGCGAATTTTTCGAATAATTTATTATTCTCAAACAGCTGAAAGCAAACAAACACAAAAATGATTCTGACGCCATCATCATCCAAATCAACCGTACACAAAAACCACTGTTTTAGCGATTCACTATTGTATATTCCCGCGCGATGGTTCTCATCGCCACCGTACGGTCAGTCTGTTTCACGCCCGTTTTCGACTCGGACAATGTCTTCTTGCTCCTCCGAAAGTCCACCTCCTACGCTGCGTACAGTCACCATTTCCTACTCGCACCTCAAAGTAAGCTTCTCTCTCTCTCTCTCTCTCTCTCTCGACCTGTTTGGTTGCCGAGAAAATTCTCGGAGGAAAGAATTGAACCGCCTGTGTTTAGTTTGCTGTTTATGTTTTTCCCTCGGTTTCTCCACAGCCAAATTGGCACAAACTTCAATTTCCTTCTTGTGTGTTCGTGTTGTATTTGACGTATCCTAAGCTATTATTGAGTGATCGATGAAAATTTGCTTGTCAATAAGTTTGAATTCATATTCAAATAGGTTTAATTTGACTTAAATGGTGATAGCTGTTGCCTTTTGATTGTAATCGGACCTCCTCAAAGTAAGCTTTTCTCTTTGTTTCTCTCGACCTGTTTGGTTGCCGAAAAAATTGTCGGCAGAGAGAAGTGAAAAACCTGGAATTTGGTTGAGGTTGGAGTGTGTGTAGCGTGGTTTTGTCTCTTGTATTTTTCCTTGGTTTCTCTGCTGCCAAATTGAGGCCTCGTTTGGGAACATGCTAATTTAGTAACTTTTTGGCTATTTGGCTAAAAAGGTAGGTAAAAAAAACTTGTATGTTTTGGATGACTTTTTGGCTAATTACGAAAATTTTGGCTAATTACGAAAAGATATGCAAAAAGTAGAGAGAAAAGAGAATCTTTGACTTTTTGGTATGAGTTGTTGGCTTTTTGGCTAATTGGCTAAAAAAGTAAGTCCCTAAACGGGGCCTCAGAGTACACTCATGTTTCTTTGTTGTCCTCCATTGCTATTTCATGTCCAACAAATTAAGGCTCTGTTGACCAATTTTTAGGGACGGAATCACTTTTTACACGAAATATTTTTAGTAATGAATTTGGACATTTAGTGATGAACTATCCGATCAAAATTTTAGACTCCTTTTTTTGGTACAAAATTGTTGTCCCCGTAACATTTTTAAAATTTTGTCACTAAAGGTCTTTTTTTAAAAATAACTTTTCAAGATGGTGATTTATACTGTGTATGGATTATGGATTTGGATGGGGATTTGGAAACATAAAAGGAAAATGTGAATAAAATATTGTTATATGTCACAATTTGTTTATATTTTTCTTTCCAAATTCTTTCCCAAATCTATGATCCATTCACAGACTTAGGCATTGTTTGGGGTACTCTATTTTAGTCCATCTTTTTATCTTTTTATCTTTTTTGGGTCACATCAATCAACATCTCCTCTCTATTTTTTTACACATCTTTTTATAAAAAGTCAAAAAGTACACTTATTTAGAACATTCCAAACCACCCCTTAGTGACAACTCACATGATAACAGGAATTGACCTTCTAATGTTTTTTGTAACAAAATTCACTTTTGAAGACGAAGAAGTTTGGTTCCTAAAACCTTCATATGTTGTGCTGGTCTTGTGTTTTTTCTCTGTCTCTCTTTGTTATTTCGCGTTCATGTTATATTTTATATATTAGTTGAATGAATGTGTAGAATTGTCCCCCTCTCTCTCTCTGATAGGATCCTAAGCTATTATTATTGAGTGATAGATGAAAATTCACAGGTCAGTAAGTTTGAATTCAAATTCAAATAGGTATAATTTGGCTTAAATGTTTACAGCTATTGACTTTTGATTATATTTATAAAGTATAGAGCTTGGATGTCATCCTAAGGAAGAAATTAACCATTTGTTGGTTGTTGGGTGGAAAATGGCCAACACTATTGTAATTTTGATCAGTAAAGTCAAAAGTGTATTATATAGATGAGTATCTAAAGGGGATGATTCCATGTAGGCATGTACAAAAGGTTAAACCAATATAATCTAATGGCTCTCGAAACAAAAGAGGCTTGTATTCTCAAAAGACAAACATGAAAATGCCAACAGATTCTTACAAATGAAGAGAATCTACAAATTGATGAATATTATTGAGTATAACCTTTCCAATGATGAATATTCTTAAGTAAAACCTTTCCAATGACCTAAACTAGGTAACGCGGCAAAAAAAAAAAAAAACAGAAGAAAAACTGTCTAAATGGTTGCTCCCGAACTCCTTGAAACGTCATCCTATTCCGTTTGCTTTACAAAATCCACATAAAGCACAAAGGAGCAGATAGTCAGGCTTTGCATCTTTGCTTTCCCACCCTATTTCCTTACCAGCCAAACATAACCCCGTCGCATCTATTTGAAAAACCTGCTCCATCCCAAACACTGTTAAAGCCAACCTCCACAACTCCTAGCCACTTACAGTGAATAAACAAATGAGAAACTAATTCCTCATCATATTATAAAGGCTTACAACTATTGTCGTGTCTTGATGAGATTGTTGACTGTCAAAATATTCTCATAAGCCACATTCCACGCAACAAATACAACCTTGGACGGAGCCCTAACCCTCCATCCAAATGCCTTTTCTCAAAAAATTCATCCTTTTACTATCTAAAAGAACCATATAAACAAACTTTATGTGAAACCTCCCTTTGTTGAATACTAGCCACCACAAAGACTCCACCCCTTCTCAAATGCTTATATAACTATAAATGCAAATTAAGAAGATTAGATAACTGATCCAGTTCCCAATTCTTACAAAGTCACCCTCAGTAGTGCAACATCCCAAAAACATCTATGCCTCGAGCATAATCTGCCGAGGTTTTTCCTTTTTTTCTTTTTTTTTTTTTGTTGAATTTTTTCAGTTACAAGAAGAAAAATGGAAAGAAAAGATCTCTCCAACACCTCATCTGTGCACTACATATGCCACCACAACTTTACCCAATCTTCCCTTCCCGCCACCTTAAAGCTAGTACTTCTCAAGAAATCCTCCCAAACTAGACAAGTACCCTTCCGCAACCCTCTCCTATGATATACATCATCAGTTCCAAAGAAGTCCAATCACCCCAAGAGTTGTCATATGTTGTAGTCACCACCCTTCTCCAGTATGTACATCTCACATGCAAATCTCCATAACCACTTTTCCAAGAGGGTTGTATTGAAGATATCCACCGACTAATCCCTAAACCATCTTCCTTCACCAGACTGCCACACAATATCCCAATCCACAAGATGGTATTTGAACTCCTTCCCTACACCACCCCTTCCGAAATTTCCACTGCAATTTTTTCTAGCCTCCTTGCCTCCAAAACAGAATAGTATGGAAGGACAAGGCTCCTTCCCTGACCGGCATATACAGATTTCTATGAATATGTAGCATATCAACTGAAGTTATTTCCAGTTGCTGAAGTATAAAAGCTTTTGAGCGGGTATAGAACACACAAAAATTAAAATTAATTTTGTCTCTCATCGGGATTACGAATCCGTTGGATTATGTATCCTATCTTAATTAAAAGTCAAGTTTAAAATAATTAGTCCGTACTTCAATTGTTTAACCAAACATCGGATTAATAATTTTATTGGACTATTAGTCCAATCCCAAGCTCATGTCCACCCAAACAAACATTACCTTAATGTGTTGGATAGAAACTTCCTCTTCAACCCTACCAATCTTTTTTGGAACAGCTCCACTGTCCCATCCCAAACCGCCTTAGCATTAAATAAAGACCTTCTAACAAACCTACCTTAAAACCTTCCGTTAACCCCCTTAATCATCCTACTAGTAATTCTACACAAAGCCTCCATAACTAGAATGAAAAAAAAAAAAAGTGATGGCAGATTCACTTACTTTGAACCCCTTGATGTGTGAAAGAAACCAATTGGTGATCCATTCACCAAAACCGAAAACTGAATTGAAGACATACAATAATGAATCCATTGCCTCCATCTACGTCCAAAACCCATCCATCCCAAGTATAATAGAAAATCCCAATCACATGATCATATGAATTTTCAATATCTAGCTTACAAATGACCCTCGCCTCACTAGTATGTATTATGGAATCAAAACACTTATTAGGCACAAGTATGACCAGTGCTTTAAAAGGAGTGCGCGCCTAAGCGCGAGGCGTAGCCTTGCGCTTTGAACAGGTCAAAGTGAGGCGCAATATGCAAGGCGCAGCTTAGGCGTTGAGGCGAGGGCTTTTTTTCGAGGCGTGGGCTTCATGGGCTTTACTTATTTTTTTGTTCAAACTATTGATTAAGTGTTTTTTTTTGTGGGCATACCCACAGGGATTCAAAGCTCTTCTATATAAAATGACCAAACGTGGTCAAAATAGAGCAGAAAGTGATAAAAGATTGATTTTTATGCTTTATATCTTTTGTTGGATATTATATTTCTAGTTTTTAGAAGATTGAATGTTATGTTTAAAGATTATCGAAAATGGTTATGATTTTTGAAATTCTATATATATTTGTTATGTTGAAAAGTTTGTCTATTTTATAATTTTGCTTTTCTTCTACCATTTGCGCTTCGCTTTGGTGAGGCGCATGCCTTGCCTTGTGCCTCTGACTTAGGCTATAGGAGACCTTATCACCTCAGTGCACCTAAGCCTTTTAAAACACTGAGTATGGCATCCAAAATCTGATGACCTTGCATAAAAGCATTTTGAGAGTCAGAAAACACCAATTGTAACACATCCTTCATATAGATGGCCAACACTTATGTCAACAATTCATATTCCCTACCAAGCAAAATAACAAGTCGAAAGTCGCTCCAATGTGCTCCACACACCCTTTATTAGGGATTAAAGCTACAAAGGAAGCATTCAAAGTTTCAAAGTTTTTTCAAACATGCGCTCGTGAAAATAATTCATCATACCCATCATCTCCTCTCTCACCACATTCCAATAATTTAGAAAACTGGTCATAGTTATACCATCAGATCTTGGAGTTTTGTCCCCATTAACGTCCTGTAGGGCTCTAAGAATCTCATCTTCCAAGAAAGGTCTATCCAGCTGCTCCACCCCCTCAATTGATATGCTGCCAAAATCGATACCATCCATTCATAGACTCCACCCCCTATTCTCCTCAAACAAACCCACAAAAGCTTGCAATTCACTCCTAATCTCTAACTTCCCTAAGAACCCTTCTATCAATTCACACCCTCGTGAGATTATTCCTCCGTCGAATATTAGCTATTATGTGAAAAAACCAATGTTCTTAACTCCTTCCTTAGTTCGTCCTTAGGTCACAAGGACCTAGCCTTTTGGTTTCCGACTAATTTATTCTATCTTTGGTATTCTCTCATACTCCACTGCCTTCTCCTCTAACCTGCCATCATCCTCCGAAAGGCCATTACTAGCCTCTTCCTCGTCAAGACTTTGAATATCTTCTGGCATCTTTGCCTTAGGTACCTCTAACCTGCCAAACTCCCCATATTCCATCTTTTTAGATCTGCTTTTAAAAACTTCAACTTCTTATCTAGAACAAGGCTATGATTACCCCTAACTTGGTAGCCTCTCCCCCAATCAAGCATCTTGTCACAAAAACCATCGACCTGCAACCACATTCAAATCTCATGTCATTGCTTTCTACCAATGAAAATTCAAATCTTATTATTGAGTGTCTTCATCAAGATAAAGGGCAATTAGCTCAATCTAAAAAACATGGCCACCAAATTGAGTAGAATCGTGCTGAAGAACAACCAGAAATTTTGTTTTGTTTTGTTTAGAGGAAGCTCACAAGATCAATAGTATTTCCCTAGGCATTGATAATTCGGTTAGTGGAATCTATGTTTAGCCATCTGAAAGAAGTTTGATGGTCTCAAATGAAGGTCCTTCAAGCTTGGTTCTTTCAGTTGTGAAGCCACAATACATGTAGTTCTACGAGTTTGAGTTGAGCATAAAGTTACTGAAGCATCATGAGAGATCAATAGAATTTCCCTAGGCATTGATAATACGGTTAATGGAGCTCATGTTTATCAATTTGAAAGAAATTTAATGGCCTCAAGTGAAGGTCCTTCAAGCTTGATGCTTTCAGTTGTGCAGCTACAATATGTGGAGTTGTACAAGGTCAAGGATAATTTTACTATAGCACCCATCAATTTTCTTTAAAGAGGTTATCAAGCTTTCACAGCGTAGTCAGTCAAACAGGACCGTGCTGGTGATGGAAAAAATGTTTTTGAAATTAAATTGTAAAGTCTATGATGTATGAGAATTGAATCTTGGAAAATTCAAATATATTTATCAACTTTGAGGACAAAGCTATTTCCAAATAGGTTTAATTAGGCTTAAATGCTGATAGTTATATTGCATTTTGAGTGTATTTTGATGTGCTTAATTACTCTGTATAAAGTGTAGATATTGTATGGCATTGTAAAGAAGAAATGAAACATTAGGTGGTTGTTAGGTGCAAGATCACCCACAAATGTGCTCAAAAGGTGAACGCTTGACCACCCAAGTGATCAAACCCTTTGATATTACCATATTTCTAGTTACATTCCTTTTGGAACGTTACAATGCTCTGTCTAAGTGTGTTGCGTGTGTGTGTGAGCCTTTGATATTAACCTTTCAATTATTATTATTATTTTTTTTTGGAATTGATGGATGCAGGATAAGAACGTTGATTTGTCGGCGAAGATTGAAGAAGGTTTTGGACCCAATGGGTTGGGAATTTTGTCAATATCAGATGTATGAAATGACTTGTTTCACATCTTTGCTTGAATAATGCAAGTCTATTTGTCATCTCTTGATTTCAATTTTGGATACATATAGACAATTGTATGCTCTTATTTGTTCAGTATGCTTGAAGTTTGCAGAACTAACCCCACTGTATAGATGAATTGTTTTAGTTTGAAAAAAATGTCATTCTTTACAATCTAATAACAGGAACCCCACCATATGTAATTCTTGTTCATGGTCCTGTTTGGAAAAATCCATGAGAACTTTTTTATATTATAAATAATAATCTTTGTTAGTCCCGGGATGATTGTGCATCAAAAGCTTGATACTTGCATCAAACAGTGTGTAAGAAACCATGCTGTCTATATCTATTAACTTAGGAAAATTCTGTTCATACATAAAGTTCATATAAAAAAACTTTACAAGAATGATGTGGCAATGCCATTATTGTAAATAAATGCATCTTCATTGGTATTTTTTTGAAGTGAATGGTCCATAATGAGCCACATCATTATGTATGAAAATTTTGTATGGAGGTTAGCTCCTTTATGGGTCCGACAAGACTCTGTAAACTGTCCCGACATTGATTCCGGTTAGTTTCTACAAGGGTCCAGCAAGACTCCGTAAACTGTCACAACATTGTCTTCTACAACGGTCCGACATGACCCCATAAACTGTCTTCTACATCGGTCTGACACCACCATACAGTGTCCTCTACAACGTTATGACACCCCATACAGTGTCTTCACCAACGGTCTGACACGACCATACAGTGTCTCCTATCCTTTTTTATTTTTATGTATTTTCTTGTTTTGTTACTCTCTCCAAACTCAAGTTGGTTAGTTTCTCTCCTCCTTGAGTTTGCGGGGGGCTGTTAGAATTTCCCATCTTTACCTTCACCTACTCCACTACACACTCCACTTCACCTACCTCTACTCCACTACACACTCCACTTCACCTAACCCACTATCACCTCCACTACACCTACTACCACATTTTCTTCTATATATAGATTGTATAGGAATTGTAATTAATGCATCTTGTAATCTATCAATCAAGACATCAATCAATAATACATAAATTCTTACAGATTTTTTGTTTGTATAGCATTACTCATTAACTTATAGAGCTTGATAGCTGCTTTCATTTATTGGAACTAATCACTTTATATACAATTCGTGATTGCTTCAGGTTCCTGAGTATTCTTCATTGCGTCAAAATCTTCTGCGTCTTGCACCTAGGTATAAGCTGTGGAATGGATTTTCTGTATTTATTTTTGATGAATCTGCAGATATTAAATACAAGGATTGTTATTATTATTTTTTAAAAATCATAATACCTATAGGATTGATCTTTTTCTTTTATCAGATTAGCCTGTCTGCCTGAAGATGTGAAGAAAGAACTGGAAGATCCTAACAGTAGGTAATACAAGAATTGCTTTCTAATTTTCCACTTCTTTAATGGTTAGTTGTCACTCACTGCTAGGTATAAACAAATATTGTGTCCCTCTCTTTGCTTAAAATTGGTTACTTTGACAATACAAGTTTTATCAAGTTTCAGTTTTTTTATTTTTTATTTTAAAAACAATATGTTTGTTTTCATCCACTTTTATCATTTCAATTTTTTTATAACTTCTGGATGAATGCCTAGGTACAATTTTGGATGGAGTCATGGGAAAGAGAAGCTAGAATCTGGAAAACCAGGTAGACTTGTCCCGAGTCAATTATGTTAGCCAATTATATGAGCTTATAAACAATGCAGCACTATGTTAACTACCCAAATCTAATCTTAAACATGAGGAAACCTCTATGGACCACTAAGTTGTTCTTGATTGACCATTAAATTGTTTAGGATTAGGTAAGAAGTCGAGTATGCTTTTTGTATTTTGCATCCTTTCCACAACACTAAATGATCTCTTCAATGGTTACCGCTTCAAAAATTGCTCTCATGCTGTTTTGTATATCTATTGGAAAGCTTCTTGCTGAAACATACAAATTTAACTCTAGGAATTCTATCATATGCTTTTCCTAATTTCAAAAAATCGTGTTCTAATATTTTCTTCTCTAGTAAACCATGTGTACTGCCTAAAAAGTAGTTTTCTGTGGTAGCAAACCTCCTTGGATTGAAGCCAGAATGGTTCTCACTGATTCTACTTTATGGTTTATCTGCGGTAGCAAACCTCTAAGCTCAAGTGCACAGTCGCATAAGTGACAATGTACTGTGAGTTCAAGCCTGATTTTCATAAATGCAAGCCCTGGTTGATCCAAAATGCTCCTGACCTCTACCGTGATCTTCTTGAGGAGGCAAGTGCAAAGGAAACTGATGAAGTCTCCAATTGCTTCCTGTCCACTCTAAATTCCAATGGAATCGTCCCTTCTGGTGGTTCTTCAATTTCAAAGGAAGAAAAAATAAAATTCCTTCCTGCGGGAAGATAGAAAAAAAAATGAAAGAGAAACAAGGATTTGTAGCCAAAGGTGGTGCATAACAAGTGAAAATGCATGACCGTTGTGTAAGGCCTGGATCTTTCTACTGTTAAATTTAGTGATTGTTCAGAAGAGCATGGGAAGACGCTTGCCACTAGAGCCTCTGTTGTTAAGGGACCAACTGAAAAAAGAGTTGTGTAATGTTCAAGTAGACATAACATAACCAATAATGTTTTTGGAGTTCCTCGGAGACCTGGCTTGATGTGCCAGAATCTGTATTATCCTTTGTTGAGGGTGAAAAAAGGGCTCCAATTGTTGATTTTTGAGTGGGGTGTGGTACCTTTCTTTCCATGTAGACATAACATAACCAATAATGTTTTTGGAGTTCCTCAGAGACCTGGCTTGATGTGCCAGAATCTGTATTATCCTTTGTTGAGGATGAAAAAAGGGCTCCAATTGTTGATTTTTGAGTGGGGGTGTGGTACCTTTCTTTCCATTGGCTTGACTCTTCATCAAATCTAGTGTACTCTGAAATCAAAGGGTTGTAATAGATAAAATTGAAGGCAGTGGATACTGTTCTTATATTTTATGCTTAGTGCTGTTTTTTTTTTTTCTTCTTTTTCTCCTCTCTCTCTCTCTTCTTTTGTGTGTGTGTGATTGTGTGTATTTACACATCCACAGAATCAAAATAATGGGCTAACTAACAGCTTTCAAAATATCTAGAAGTATCTTTGGACATAAAATTTAATATTTTGTTGACCTTGCCAAACCAAGTCTTAAATCCTATCAAATGGGGTCGGCTATATGAATTTTTCTTCTCCACTAGACTCTATCAATGGCCACTTGGTTAGTCAAATTAAGGAACTTCATATCTCTATTTACTACACTAGTCCATGTCAATCTAGGTCTGCTCCTTCCCCTAACAATTCCATCTACAGTCACAGTATCGCATCTCTTCACTATTGCCTTTGTTGGTCTTCGTTGAATATGACCAAACCATCTCAATCTATTCTCTCTCAACTTATCTTTTATTGGTACTACTCATACCAATTCACGAATATACTCATTCCTAACTCTGTTTTTCTAGTCTTGCCACTCATCCACCTTAGCATCCTCATCTCAGTGATACTCATCTTATCTAGATGTTTTTTAGTTACTCAACATTCCGTCTCATACAATATCACTAGTCTATGGCCGTTCTATAGAACTTTCTTTTTAGTTTAGTGGGTACTCATTTAATATTTTGCTAACCTTAAGAGTGGAAAATGATATCACAAGTTTTTCTAAAGAAACTCAGCATTCTCAAACAATAGAAGTTCATTTATTCACATTTCTAGCCGGTGAATTCCTATCTGGGTGATAACTTTTGATATGCCAGCTTAAGGTTATTGTTGTGGGGTGTTTATCTTTTTGGTTTTAGTCATATTGTGAAATATAGGATTTTTAATTTACTTCAGTTACACTAAATCTTTTAGTGAAATAAGAGTTATGATGACAACAACATATCTCTGATTCCAGCTTTATTTACCTCAGTGGCCTATGTAGGGACATTAATTTAAGAATTATTCATATCCAGCCCATGGTTAGTCAAGCTGGTTTCAAGGTTGAATCTCCAATTTGTTTATCGTGAGACCTCAATTTTGCCAAGAGTGAGTGGTGAAAGAAGATTATGTTGCTAAAGAAGGAACTTTTAAACATGAAATTTGACGAGAACTTGATGTGTTATAGCATGTAATCTAATCAGCCTATCTTTTGGCATATTTACAGTAGTAAAGTGTAGATGCAAATTGATTATTGTTTGTATATATATGTACGCGTAGCACAAATATCTATATATAGATGTGAAGTCGTGTGTGTGTCAGGTTTAGTTCATGCTTTTCTTATACTTTGTATACCTGGTAGAGATTTTTATGCTTTTTATTGTGCAGACATCTTGAAAGGCTCTTTCTATGCAAATCCAATATTCGATACACCTACAACTGATGAATCTCTTGTTCAACGGTAAGTCTAAGAAAAACCTTTTATATTTTTTGGTGCTTCTACATGTTGTCTGTTGTACAAGGCACTATTGTGCACCACATATGGTGATGTGATTTCATAACTTCTGCTTTCATGTTATGTCTTCTAGGTACCCATCATATTGTGGATCAAATATATGGCCTGATAGGGCTCTTCCAGAACTTGAAGTGGGTATGTTTTCATCTAACTTTTTAATCACTAGAGCTGTGGATTACTTGCATGTGTCCATTTGTTCTTAGAATAATATCTTTGTGATTGTGATTTTGCTTAGCTGTCATTAGTTGTAGTTTCCTTTTGTGCCTTGAGGCTTCTATTGTATGTTTCATATTATTAATCTATAAGGGAGTGATGGTCTCATCATTCCCTAAGTTTGATTTCTCCTAGAATAAATATGGTATCAGAGCCATGTTCATCATCCACCTTTACCTAACGACCATAGTACCACCACGCTACACCGCTAAACCACCACACACCACTAGGACCACCCGACAGCCACCCAAGGCCCAGTCGACAGCCACCCATGCCCATGTGACACCACTAGGGCCTATTTCGGCTTTTCTACAGCCTCACCTAGGGCTCACGACTTGGACAGGACAATTTCAACACCTCCCTTGATGCTTGATTAGGGTTTCGGCAGCCTCTCTTTGCCCTAGTCTATGTTTTGATTGACCCATTTGGTTCTTTGTTTCTCTCTTGCTACAAGTCTTCACTTTATTACTGAGAGTATTTCAGTCCCTATTTTGATTGATGGTACCTTCTCCCTATTTCTTGTTTAATTTTTTGGGTCAATATATGGCCCTAATCCTCAGCCTTGACTGATTGTATCTCTCCATCGTTTATGGTTGATTATATGTGCCTTGATTCCAGTCATTTTTCCTTCTTCCACTAGTAGTGATTGTTGTAGGTTGTTGTTTAGATAGTAGCATACTAAGATGGCTGAACTTACGAGTGAATCCACCACTAGTTCCTAGCCACCTAAAGGGGAGAGTCCCATTATGACTACTGCATAAGAAAACCTTAACCCTAGCCTAAAAATCACCACCTTTTTGTTTAATGGACAGAACTATCTTGCATGGTCGCAATGTCTGACACTTTTCGTGAAAAGTCGAGGAAAAATGGGTTATGTTGATGGGAGAATCCAAGCTCCTAGTACCACTGATCCTAGTTATGACCAATGGGAGATTACAAATTCTCTGATTATAGGGTGGCTCATCCACTCAATGGTTCTTGATATTGGTGAGGGCTACTTATCTATGGATACAACTCAGGATATTTGGGATGTTGTGGCTACTACCTATTCCTGAAAGGGGAATTTTTCACAGACCTTTGAGTTGCGCCGCTCAATTAAGCGCTCAATACAGGGCGAGATGACCATCCTTCAGTACTTTACCTTCCTCAGTAATAACTAAAAACGTCTGGATCATCTTCAGGACTACAAATCAGTCTACTCAACCGATTCTGTAGGGTACCGCAAATTTATTGAGTAAGAGAGGGTCTTCAAATTTTTGGAGGGTCTCAATGTGGAGTTTGATCCTGTTTGAAGTCGTGTCCTTGGTATGGATGTTCTTCCCTCCTTTCATGAGGCCTTTGCTTATGTACAGAATGAAGAGAGTCGTCGTTTTACTATGCTGCCACCTACCACTACAGAGCGCTCAGCCTTACTTTCTGCTCCTCCTAGAGATGGAATTAGTTAGCATCATAGTTCCTCTAATCCTTTTAAGAAGGATAATTTATTCTGTGATTACTGTCGCCGGCCGAGACAAACTCAGGGGACTTGGTGGAAACTTCATGGGGTTCTTTTTGGTGGCTGTGGCGATCGCTCTGGTAGTCATGGGGGTCGCTCAGGATGGTGTTGAGGACATGGGTGTAATCCACGTGCACATCATACCATTGCAGTTGATACTCCTGACTCATCTTCAGTTGTTCCATCTAGTAGTGATGTCTCCGGTATGTCTTCTTCTGAGTTTGAGGATGCGTTGCGCCACCTACTAGATCGTCGTTCTTCTACTACTCCATTTGATGCACCCTCCTCTTCGCTTACTCACTCAGGTAACTAAGCCTCTTTTACCAGTGTTTTCCTATCTCATAAAATTTTACCTTGGATTATTGATTCCGGTGTCTCCGATCATATGTTTGGGTCTTCTAATTTTTCTTGAAATATAAGCCCTCTTCAGGTCAGGACAAAGTTACGTTTGCTGATGATACTATTTCTTCTATTCTGGGAAATGTTTAGTTCATGGCACTCCTTCTCTACCTCAATCTTCTGTCTTACATGTTTCAAATTTCTCTGTTAATATTTTATCTTTGAGTCGTTTTACTCGTGATTTGAATTGTAGTGTGATATTTTTTCTTGATCATTGTCTTTTTTAGGGCCTTATCACGAGGACGATTGGTAGTGGTAGAGCAAAACATGTTCTCTAGATTAGGCAGACAAGGTGCACATCATTCCATCAAACTTTCCGCCACCAAGGAAGACCTATGGCTGTGGCATCGGCATTTTGGCCATCCGTATTTTTTATTACTTAAGCATTTGTTTCCTTCCGCTTTTACAAACAATAATGTCTCTAAGTTTAATTGTGAGTCTTGTCAACTTGGTAAACAATACAGTGCTTCTTTTGCTCCAAGTTTTAATAAAAGTTTAGTTTCTTTTTCCTTAATTCATACTAATGTGACCACTATCATATTCTATACATGCCATTATCTACCACCAACACCACTATCATATTCTATACATGCCATTATCTACCACCAACACCACTATCATATTCTATACATGCCATTATCTACCACCAACACCACTATCATATTCTATACATGCCATTATCTACCACCAACACCACTATCATATTCTATACATGCCATTATCTACCACCAACACCACTATCATATTCTATACATGCCATTATCTACCACCAACACCACTATCATATTCTATACATGCCATTATCTACCACCAACACCACTATCATATTCTATACATGCCATTATCTACCACCAACACCACTATCATATTCTATACATGCCATTATCTACCACCAACACCACTATCATATTCTATACATGCCATTATCTACCACCAACACCACTATCATATTCTATACATGCCATTATCTACCACCAACACCACTATCATATTCTATACATGCCATTATCTACCACCAACACCACTATCATATTCTATACATGCCATTATCTACCACCAACACCACTATCATATTCTATACATGCCATTATCTACCACCAACACCACTATCATATTCTATACATGCCATTATCTACCACCAACACCACTATCATATTCTATACATGCCATTATCTACCACCAACACCACTATCATATTCTATACATGCCATTATCTACCACCAACACCACTATCATATTCTATACATGCCATTATCTACCACCAACACCACTATCATATTCTATACATGCCATTATCTACCACCAACACCACTATCATATTCTATACATGCCATTATCTACCACCAACACCACTATCATATTCTATACATGCCATTATCTACCACCAACACCACTATCATATTCTATACATGCCATTATCTACCACCAACACCACTATCATATTCTATACATGCCATTATCTACCACCAACACCACTATCATATTCTATACATGCCATTATCTACCACCAACACCACTATCATATTCTATACATGCCATTATCTACCACCAACACCACTATCATATTCTATACATGCCATTATCTACCACCAACACCACTATCATATTCTATACATGCCATTATCTACCACCAACACCACTATCATATTCTATACATGCCATTATCTACCACCAACACCACTATCATATTCTATACATGCCATTATCTACCACCAACACCACTATCATATTCTATACATGCCATTATCTACCACCAACACCACTATCATATTCTATACATGCCATTATCTACCACCAACACCACTATCATATTCTATACATGCCATTATCTACCACCAACACCACTATCATATTCTATACATGCCATTATCTACCACCAACACCACTATCATATTCTATACATGCCATTATCTACCACCAACACCACTATCATATTCTATACATGCCATTATCTACCACCAACACCACTATCATATTCTATACATGCCATTATCTACCACCAACACCACTATCATATTCTATACATGCCATTATCTACCACCAACACCACTATCATATTCTATACATGCCATTATCTACCACCAACACCACTATCATATTCTATACATGCCATTATCTACCACCAACACCACTATCATATTCTATACATGCCATTATCTACCACCAACACCACTATCATATTCTATACATGCCATTATCTACCACCAACACCACTATCATATTCTATACATGCCATTATCTACCACCAACACCACTATCATATTCTATACATGCCATTATCTACCACCAACACCACTATCATATTCTATACATGCCATTATCTACCACCAACACCACTATCATATTCTATACATGCCATTATCTACCACCAACACCACTATCATATTCTATACATGCCATTATCTACCACCAACACCACTATCATATTCTATACATGCCATTATCTACCACCAACACCACTATCATATTCTATACATGCCATTATCTACCACCAACACCACTATCATATTCTATACATGCCATTATCTACCACCAACACCACTATCATATTCTATACATGCCATTATCTACCACCAACACCACTATCATATTCTATACATGCCATTATCTACCACCAACACCACTATCATATTCTATACATGCCATTATCTACCACCAACACCACTATCATATTCTATACATGCCATTATCTACCACCAACACCACTATCATATTCTATACATGCCATTATCTACCACCAACACCACTATCATATTCTATACATGCCATTATCTACCACCAACACCACTATCATATTCTATACATGCCATTATCTACCACCAACACCACTATCATATTCTATACATGCCATTATCTACCACCAACACCACTATCATATTCTATACATGCCATTATCTACCACCAACACCACTATCATATTCTATACATGCCATTATCTACCACCAACACCACTATCATATTCTATACATGCCATTATCTACCACCAACACCACTATCATATTCTATACATGCCATTATCTACCACCAA